TCATGTTTGTGATTAGTTGATGTTCAAGCGGATATTTTTAGCATGCAGTATGCCAGCATATTCGCAATATTCTCGTATTCGCAGCGTATATAGCACATTCAATGTTGGATTGCATTATCACACTACACTCTAATTACTTTAGCGCACAATTGCTGCTGCCAAATTCACTGAGCGCGGAAACCTGCTTTGTGTGCCGTGGTTTCCTTCTCTGTCTGCGGGAATTTCATAATCAAGTGCGTCGGCTAAATAAACTAAGTGCGTCACATGCAGTCATATCAAAACAGACAAAAAGAATCTCCGCGCAATTACGAAGCATGTTTTACTTCGTAGTTCGTAATATGGTGTTACAACGATGTTCATTCTTTGTTTCCGCTTTAGTTTACTGAAAAAATCAAAATAGGCCTAAATGCTTTGCATATAGTATTTTATACTATCTTTGAATTGCGTCCCCTCCCCCTGTAAATTATTATCATGTATATCTCCTGTGGTGCAAAATGCTCTAATTTGCACGGTTCCAGGTTCCGGTTCCTGTATCGCTGTATCGTTGTATCGCTGTATCGCTTTTTAGTAGTAGCCCAAAAAGTTGACTTTTGTTCTAAGTGGTTTACGTCAGAGGTTTCGGCCTGGGTTGCGCTCAAGGCAAAAATGTCCCTCTGCGCTCAAACGCAAACGAGGTATCATTAGGCCGGGTATCATTGGGCCTACTGCAATACCACCATTAGAAAGTTTACAGGTCAGCCGTTGTGTCGTGATTCCTAATTTATCCGTCCCCTTTGGGCACCGCGTAAATGATGGGGTTAATATCCGAGGCTATTTCACTAGTTATTAAAGCCGGACATGCTGCGTTAATGGGTAAATTGGATATTAGAAGCGCTTATCGCATAAGTTCAGTGCATCCGTCAGCCCGTCATTTATTAGGAATGTTTTGACAAAGTGGTTTCTATGTTGATCTCGCATTACCGTTGGCTACTACTAAAAAGCGATACAGCGATACAACGATACAGCGATACAGGAACCGGAACCTGGAACCGAAATCTGGAACTGAGCATAATTTATGCAAATTAGAGCATTTTGCACCACAGGGGATATACATAATAATGTTTACAGGGGCGCAATTCAATGATAGTATAAAATATTATATGCAAGGCGAACATCGTTGTAGCACTACATAGTAAAACATGTTTCATAATTGCGCGGCGATTCTTCTTATCTGTTTTGATATGACTACACGTGACGCATTTAGTTGATTTAGCCGCCGCACTTGATTATGAAATGCCAGCAGACAGAGAGGGAAACCACGGCACGCAAAGCAGATTACGCTGCATTAAAGTTTATATAAGTATATAACATAGATGACACGAAAACGAAATGAAACGAAACGATGAGACGAAAACACATAGATGTACAATGTAACTTCAATGAATACTCCCATGGCCATGACCATGTTGAAATTTAGTCGCTTTAACAGCTTCAATGTCAGATTTTGCTTTTGTAATGTCGGAAACGGTACTTGATTAATAATAGCACATAATAGTTTCGTGAGAAAATTTATTTATCTTATACCATAAATTTTGATTATGATTACGGGCTAGTATATCGAATGGTGTGAACGTTAGTAATGTGACGGGGTCATAGACGTCGGGCTTATATTCGGGGACTTATAATCGGAAGTTTATGGTATAAGATAAATAAATTTTTTCACGAAACTATTCTCCTAGTTTAAAAATTAAAAGGATGTACTATTATTAAAATGCTAATTCTAGCTAGTGCAATTGACAGCAAAAATCTCTATTGTGTAACAGTTATTGAATTAATAAGAAGATACCTATTACGGTAATTAAGTATGTAACACAGAAGTTTGTAAACAGTAGGATTTTTTGTAAACAGTTGTATAAGTAAATGACAAATAAAGTTATAAAAGGCTCACGGATCTGGAAAGAAAAGTGCTCAAAATTATGCTAAATTGACAAGTACTATCACATTACACCACAACGATTTAATATATAAAGAAAACCACCTGCCTTTCTGTCGCAGCAAAAGTTCACGTTGACGCACGCATTGTTTTTGCCACTACACTCTAAATATTAAAATGTATCGATTATCTATAATGCGATTATTAGGAATTTTAAAATATAATCTAATAAATAAAATAATAACAATTTTTATACATTTAATAACAGCTGTTGACTGCATGTTGTCTCAATCGCTCAGCAACTTCAAACAGAGCATCTGCCTGCATCTCTTGCGGAAATTATTGCCTCTGGGTTCATTCTACCAGATTTTGCGTTTTTTGCGTCTCTAGCAATTCAATCTGCGCTATAAAAGTCAATTAATTTAAGACAATCAAGCGAATATACGCGAATATTATGGTGAATATACGGCCTTCAATACAGCGACAAGATGTGGCGAATTCGATCCTCGGCTTGCGTCATGTGATATGTTCTAGAGGTCTGGACACGAATGAATTTCGCCGGGGGGTTATCTTGTGTTAGCTTAATTAATATTGGCGGAGATTTGACGCTATCGTTCAACTCCGCCAATATTCAACATGTGGTAATTTTTTTCAACATATTTTGAACGTTGAAGTTGTGATGGGTGCTAAATTCGCGGCATGTTCAATGTCCAGTTTAACTTCAATGTCAAAAACACATGGGTGTTCAATGTCATATTTAACTTCAATGTCGAAAATATGTTGAATGTTTTGCATGTTCAATGCCAGATTTATCTTCAATGTCGAAAGCACGTAGGTGTTGAATGTCCTATTTAACTTCAATGTCGAAAATATGTTGAATGTTCTGCATGTTCAATGTTAGATTTATCTTCAATGTCGAAAGCACGTAGGTGCTGAATGTCCTATTTAACTTCAATGTCGAAAGCTTGATATACATGAATATTGGCGGTGATATGACGCCATATGATAGTACTATATTTAAACCCTGATAATACAAAAATGTGACAAATATTGTATATCCAGTTTAGTTGTGAGTAGCCTGTTGCAAAAACAAGTTTATTAAACTCTACAGTGGTGTACACATTATACGTACTGTTGAAGGCATAACAACAATACAATAGATTTATTTTTGATATTTTGTTATACTTATAGTTGCCTTTGGAGATTATATAATAATATATAATGTTAGACCAGGAGAGGGGCAAACCTGACTCGACTCCGCAGGGTTATATTTGGGTAAGAGATACAACTAAGTGAATTTGGACGCTGAATTTCAATCAGACATTTCAATTTTTCATTATTAAATGTATTTTTGACGTTGAAGTTACCTTCATAACTTCATTCATGTTTGTGATTGATGTTCATGCGGATATTTTAGAATGCATATTCACAATATTCGCGTATTCGGCAGCGTATATAGCACATTCAAATGCTGGATTGCATCACTACACTCTAATTACTTTAGCGCACATGAATTACTGCTAGTGAATTCAGCGCAATCTGCTTTGCGTGCGGTGGTTTCCTTCAGTGTCTGCTGGCATTTCATAATCAAGTGCGGCGGCTAAATAAAATAAGTGCGTCACATGCAGTCATATCAAAACTGACAAAAAGAATCGCCGCGCAATTACGAAACATGTTTTACTTCGTAATATGTAGTGCTACAACGATGTTCATTCTTTGTTTTATTAACTGTGGTTAGTTAAAAATCAAAATACGTTGCATATAATATTTTATAATATCATTGAATTGCGCCCCCCTGTAAATTATTATTATGTATATCTCCTGTGGTGCAAAATGCTCTAATTTGCATAAATTATGCACGGTTCCAGGTTCCGGTTCCAGGTTCAGGTTCCTGTATCGCTGTATCGTTGTATCGCTGTATCGCTTTTTAGTAGTAGCCATTACCGTTTGGCTTGCGCTCAGCACCAGGATTTTTCAATAGTCCTTCACTGGTGCTTGGTGAATAATTAGCACGTTCTCAAGTTACTACATTACCTAGACGACCATTTCACATTAGAACCTCCTAACTCGGCCCTATGTGCTCCGCATCTCAAAGCGATTGACCAGGCAGCGACCGAAATTGGCATACACTTATCGCTCGACAAATGCGTGGGCCCATTTTCCTTGGCATTGAGTTAAACCGGGTTTGGCTCCCTTAGACCACTTAGAACAAAAGTCAACTTTTTGTCGCTCCGGATGACTGCGCGGAGTCAAAAATTTGTAAAACGCGGAGTCAAAAATTTGTAAAACGCGGAGTCAAAATTTGTAAAACGCGGAGTCAAAATTTGTAAAACGCGGAGTCAAAATTTGTAAAACGCGGAGTCAAAATTTGTAAAACGCGGAGTCAAAATTTGTAAAACGCGGAGTCAAAATTTGTAATCGTAAATTAAAGATCAAATCACTCCCTATTAAGGTTTATATATTACCGTAACATAACATTCTCCTATAATTTTTCCCTAGCCTGCATAGGGGAAAATTTCGAAAAAACCCAAAACAAAACACAAAGCCTCTGCGGAGGAGATTGGTAACATAACACCTATTTATGGCAAGTGTGCTCTGCCGCATTTCGACATTTTATCTCCGTTGCTATGGTTATGCCAACACGTGCTTCTTTTAATTTGTGAGTTGACACCCGAATTCTAAAACCTTTCGACCAAAATGATACTACATATTTTGGCATGTGCCGCTGTCATGTAGGGAATATATTTTTATAGCTTCGTCTCGTGTGATTGTAGACGTTACTTCAGAATGGAGGGGAGCTTTAAGCTCCCAAAACTTGTGCCGAAACAAAAGAAGGATTTAGAGCTACCGAGATTTGATTGGGCAAGTATAGCGAAACAGAAAAAGCTTGGATCTGGCAGTTTCGGTTCTGTGTATCTAGCTAAACACGCTGGTACCGCACAAAATGTCGTTGTAAAGAAACTTAAAAGCGTCTCTATCGACTCACAGACGCGCTTCGTGAAAGAGGCGAAGATTTTGAATAGCGTTAATTAAAGGACACCGCAATATAAGCAAATTTTTAGGGTTTTGTAGTGAGCCGCACTCTATAATGATGCAGTACTCAAGATTCGATTTTGGCTTTTTCGGAGTTGAGAAAAGTGTGAGTTCTCTCGCTGACTTTCTTCAATTTGTCGACACTGAGTTCGAGTTTTCGTCAGTTGCTAATTTGTTGCCAGTATGTGTTAAAGATATACTCGCAGGACTTGATTATTTGCACAATCATAATATAGCTCACCGAGATTTAAAACCTGGTAACATATTGGTTTGTAACCAGCATTTGGATGATGTTGCCGGTGATGACAAAGCCATGGCCAAGGCTTACGAAGAGTGTCCCATTGTATGCCAACTTACTGACTTTGGTCTCAGCCGTAGTGTCGACATCCAAACCAAGTCAGTTGTTATGTCTAAGACAACGTCAGTCAGTTGTGGTACTCCTGCATACATGGCGCCAGAAATGCAGCTAAATCAACTGGTTTTTGCCAGCCACGAAGATCTGAAACGTGCAGATATGTGGTCCTTGGGCCTTGTTATGCATACCATGATAAATCCAGATCTTGGTAGTCCTTATCGAGCTGAATTAGAGCAATCTAGTGCGCCCGATATCCATATGGCATTGAAAGATCTTCTGACGAAACATCGACTACCTCAACATGGTGCAAAATATGAGCAGCTGCGAATAACCTCGTGGTAGCAACTTGAAGATATATTCAATCGGTGCGCTAATTTTGATGCGATGGCTAGACCTTCCACAGCAGAGATGCTTTGCTTGATTAACAAGAGCTTGGTTAACTATTTCCGTCGTCTTCCTTTGTCAATTAGCCAGAGTACGGTTTTGGAGCAGTGTGATGCTCGCCTAGCTGCAAATTTGCAAGGAAACATGCATCTATCGACCAGTCAACCCACTTTACTTCCCCCAAACGACGCAACCAATTGTTGTGCGTTTCTTGCTCTTGGAATTTGCGACCGATTGTTACACGGCACTGACTTATGTCAACAAGCAGAATGGGAACGCGTGTGTGGAATCGTCGAGGACGTCATCTCTAATCTTCCTTCAAACGTGAATAAGCACCGTGATATTGGTCAATTTTATGATGTTGCAGAAGCTCTTTCCATTTTATCAACCAATGACTTGCTTTTTGAGGAATACGAACTTTCTGAGGAATGCGTATCAGCCAACAAAGTTTTTTCTTCAGCTGGAAGAGATGAGATAATGGAAAGTTTAACGTTGAAGGTATCGCAAGGCGAAATGTGTATGGGAATTTATACCTGTAGCCCTTACATATTTACAATAGGTATTTGCAACAACGCTGTATTTCTCGTCGACACCCATCCTGTAAATGAAGAGCTTGGCGGAAATGGTAGTGGGCTTCTAATGGTGACTCCAGATTCGAGCTATGGGTCATGTAAATCAGTCATTCAATGGCTATTACAACGATTAACAATGGCAGGAGTGAAAGGCAACGCGAGCCAAAGCATGACCTGGTTGACATCACAGCAAGGTTAGTGAATTGAAGTTTGAATAAATAATACATCGCCATGCCAGCTTTACTGATATTTTACCAAAACGATGGTTCATAACTTTTGAACTTTCGATTGTAAAGTTATGCCTTTTAAGTATGTGATATATGCCGCCATATATCATGCCACCATCTACCATATCACATACTATGCTATATGCCGCCATAATTCATTGTTGTTTCGTTAAAAAGAAATTTAAAATCAGGTTTAAAATGTAACTTCCAATTTGCCTTTAGAGAGGTTCATGCCATTAGAGCTAGATTTGGTTTCCACTACCACAACTGTTATTCAATATGTCTGTAGTACCAACAATGTAAAAAGCTATTTAAGGTATCGGTAATCGGAGACCGAGGGAGCAGGTTGGCTGGCTGGGCTGAGTGTTCACCATCAACCAATGATACGTAGTCAAACGCTATTATAATCAATAACATCACCTTTCAATGTTGTACATAAAATGAATCGCCCGTTGCCCTCGTGATGACACTAAAATGGAGTATCGAAATATTGGGTCGTTAACAGTAACATGTAATTTTATGAACATAAAAGTTATTACAAATCAGATTACCTTTATAATGTGTCCGATCCATTCTTCTGTATTTTTGTCTACTTAGAGGAGAAAAACCGATCTAAAGAAGTGGAATATTGTGAAAATTCAATTGACCAGATTCAGGATGAGGACATGGAATCTTTAATTGCGAGAGAGCTTCAAAATTATGGCGAATCCAATGGAGCAACTGGCGAGGTGCGTGAGCGTGTAATTTAGGATGAATTACTGCAGGTCTTTGCTATTTGCTACGTTAACACGGGCGTGGCTAACTCTGCAAAATCTTTACTCACTGGTTAGCTGTTCCCGTTAGATTGGACTAATCTGATTACATTTGAGTGTTCTCAGTGTTACCAACGACCTTCTTTCGAGGATTTGTTAACAACTCCCTCCCCCCCAGGTTATTATTATTTTATTGTAATATAATTATATTGAATATTGAAATTAGAACTTTTTTTCGAAAAACAAGATAACAAAGGATGAAGACAGAGCTTTCGAAAGGGTCGAGCTGAGCAGTGACAGCGAATCTGCAGAGGAACGTAAAGGTATGGTATAGTCAGGATTCTATTTCAGCAGAATGAGTAAACTTCATCTTTACTTGTCTCTACTTTTCTTCTTTACCTCTTCTTTTTTTGCTACTGCTAAACATTTGTTTTTACGCTCAGTTTTGGAAATATTTTGGGACGTTTTGTTTTAGAAAAAAAGTCGATCTTCCCCCCTATCGCCAACATTTTCTGGAAATTGTTTTGGAAATTTCAACAAGGCTGTACCAAATTGATCTAAGAAGTGTGAGCATCATACTAAATTCATGAAAACATTTTACAGTTGCACTGCTTGCAGAACGATAAGTTTAACGCTGCACGTCTATTCATTTCATGCAATGTTTGACATCAAGAAAAATAACAAATGTTTCGGAATTTGCAATATTCCTTATTCTTTCTAGTCAATTACTGGATGATTTATTTAAACAGGTCGAGAGAATCAAGACAGGGAACACATCCCAACATGATAGAATACAGGAGAATTTGACAGGTACTGTATCTTCGGAGGTATATAACATGAAATTTAGTAGGGCCTATTAAGCCTTCCTTTTGTGTTTGATTAACATTCAGTATTACCAACGGTTTTTTAACATTTTATCCACAATCTTTACTACCGGACAAAGTGACTTGCCTTGTCAAAAATATACAAGCTGCGTATGCCAAGGTGTTAAGTACCATCCAAAAATGCATTTTAAAGATGTCTGTGACGAAAATAGGTCATCGAAGTAGAACCATATTTTGCTGACAAGATAGCTCTATTATTTAACTGAATTAGTATTCGCCGAATTCGAAGGCGAGGTGATTATCGGTGAATAAAATCCGAGACGAAGTCGAGGTTTTTTATTCACGATAACACCGAGCCTGAGGTGAATAATGGTTTTAGTATACTTTCATAGGTGATTATTTTGGAGAAAAAAAATACTCATCTTCGTCATTTAATTTAATTGACAAAATGGCTTCGGCCGCCATTTCGAAAATCGCTTTGGTGATTATCGCGTTATAACCAGACACAATACTAAAATGCGGTGCCTGCCTAGTACAAATAAAACTTTTGGCGTTTCCCGAAAACGAGAAAACCAACAATTCCGAAGTTATCAAGGATCAAACGGACTGCATTTTTAATTAGTTTAATAATTTTGAGCGATTTGTGAACAATACAATTTCGCTTGTATTTCAAAGGCCATAAATCGCTAGAAATAAGAGATAAGGCGCAGAAAAAAGTCAATCGTGAGAGTCCGAGATTAATTGGAAAGAAAACTTTCCTCGAAAAAAGGAATTCGAAAAACGTGAAAGGATTATTTTGGCGGCTTGTCTTTCAAAGGCCATAAATCGCTAGAATAGAAATCAATCTTGAAACCAATTTTCAATCCGTGAATACAACTTTTCACGCTGATTCGAACAGTGGTATTTTTGTCCTTGTTTGACGCATAAAACCAGAGATAAAGCCTGGGAAAGGCGATATAGTAGGCGATTAAGGAAACGTATTGATGCGAACACACTAACAAACTAACAAACTAACTAACAAACTCACAGGCAGAATATAATGCGGTGCCAAACTTGGCACGGGCACCGCAATCACCTCAACGGCAACCAATCAGCGCGCGTGCAGAATTTTCAATAATCACCTAAGTAATTATACTAAAGTACTATTAAAGTTCAGACGAACATAATTAAAATTGGGAAATTGACAGACCAATACTCTTTGGGTCTGTCAATTTCCCGTTTGTAATTCAAAATGACTGAAAAACGGCAAACTTCGCAAGGCTATATTATCCGCATTTTACAACATTTCGCAACGAAACTTCGGAATATTACTAATTTTGTGACGCTCTGTCAAGCTGTAATGAAATTTTTGTCTAGACTTGTTGAGATCAAAATTTTGTCTATTACGCAAGTGGTCAATTCAACAAACATTTTGGTCAGACGTAATATACTACAAACACAGCGTGTTACGGTTAAAGCATATTCGGATAAATGTTACAAGCTTTTAATAGTTGTTTATCTAATGGTATATAGCCTTTCAGGCTTTCACACGAGCAAGATTTAAGACTATTACGTCACAGACACTTTAAGTTAAGACTATATCTTGCTTTTTTGCTCTGGTTTTTTTTTTTCGTCATCATTTTTTATAAGAAATAACAATGACATTCATAAAACGTTAAATCTGATCAAGTGACTAATAACAACAAATATTCTTAGCAACAACTAACAGTGATGCAAGTTCTGCGAGAATCGACCAATCATCCGTTTCAACTGATGGCAGTGACTTACGCGAAGGATACGTTGAAGCCGTACGCTTTTACAACGATGATCCTGCACTCCCCGTATACCATTGGGGATTAACAAAGGGAATGGCTACAGATGACGTAGCAATGGTGCTTATACAAGAAAAGATTGAGCAGTCAAAGATAGCAACAAAAGTTCCAACGAACGTAAGCAAAAACACTGTGTTTGTTGTTGATACAACCGAATTACGCGATGATCAGGACATGAGATGTGACGACATGCTTGGCTATGCACTGGATCAAGAAGATATGGCTATAGTGTGGACGACACGGGGAATATCAACAGTGAGGCAGAGCTGGCCAACAAAAGTCATGAAAAACAGTACCAGTTAAACCGCCAGTTTTTTAAAAACAAAAGTGCGCCTTCAGTTCGAAAAATTATAATCACTGCCCACAACAAGATTTCACGTATGGCAAAGGATTTGTCTTTCATCCAGTATATTTTTGAAGAAGGAGAACAAGAAATAGTAGTTCAAGCTCACGGAAATGCAAAAAAAAGAGATACCGGAAACGCTGGGTATAAGCGCACGATGAAGAGCACAAAAGATCTCATCACGGAGAAGCTAACGGTACTACCACCACGCAAGACAACGCACCAGATTATTAAAGAAAGGGGTGGTATAATGAAGATCAGCCAGGCAGGAGAATTTCCACGAAACCGCACGCAGGTTTACAACATCAACAGAAAGTTGAAGAAAAGAAACGGAAACACGACTCTCCCAAGCAACGACCCTTTGTTGCAAGTTATAACCAAGGCGAAAGAAAAGCAAAAAGGAAGGATCGAGAACGCTCTTATTAGAGAAATCCCCTTGTTCCCAGAACCCATCGTTTTCCTGGCGTCTGAACAGCAATTGGAAGATATCGAGCGCTTCTGCACAAATCCTGCAAAATTTTGTGTTCTTGGTGTGGATGCAACGTTTCAAATTGCAGGTTTCTACTTCACTTTCACCACATACAGAAACCTTATGTTAAGAACAGACAAAGGAAACCATCCTGTTTTCATTGGGCCAGGAATTCTTCACAAACAAAAACTTTGCACATCCTACAAGACGCTGCCTCTTCTCATGTCTAAATACCGCATAGGAACGAATGGAGTTTTAGTTTATGGAACCGACGGTGAAGCAAACATGGCCAAAGCCTTCTCGGATGTTTATCCAGACGCAAAGCATTTGTGTTGTGATATTCACATGAAGGACAACGTCAAGCGCAAACTGAGTCAACTTGGAATTACTGGAACGCTCGCTAAAGAAATAGTATTCGACATATTTGGTAAGAAAGTGGACGGTGGCATTGATGGAGGTTTGGTCGACTGCACTTCCAACAAAGAATTTGAAGATGCTGTTACATCAGTTACTGACAAGTGGAATACCATCCATGAAAACGGGGCTAAATTTGTCCATTATTTCCTGAAAGAAAAAGCTGATGTCATTCGAGAAACGGCCAAAGCTGATGTCCGCTCTGTGTGTGGTCTGGGATATCCTCCAAAGGTCTACACTCAAAATGCCAACGAGTGTATGAATCGACTCATTAAAGCTGAAGATAATTCAAACTACTCCAAGAAAGAGCCTTCACTACTTCCTTACGTAGAAAGGATAAGAAGTGAAATCCAACGTCAACAAGATGAGCAGTTTTTGGCAGTTTTCGGAAGAGGCCAATACCAGCTAACAGAGGAGTTTTCATTTCTGAAAGTAGAAGAACGGAACTTTTACACGATGACAGATCTTCAGAAGAAATCTCTGAAGAAAAAATTCTTCTCAATCAAAATGACCGAAATACAAGAGGCTCCAGGTACAAATGAAATGCCGTCCTTGTCAGTATCACCCGAAGATGCACAAATCATCGACATTCCATTTACTCTCCTAAAAGGAATGTTTGACAAAGCAGCTACTTTAATTTAGTTAGCAACCAATCGCATATTTGGAAGATGCCAACAAATTCAGATTCTCGACCGATCTTCATGGTTCCCAGTACTTCATCTGAGAACGCACATAAAGTCGTAGTATTTCCAGAATGCGGCAAAGTGGCGTGCGACCAAGCATGTGTGAACTGGTGTACTCACAGTCTGTGCTCCCACACCGTGGCCGTGGCGGAAACGATGAAACGTCTAAAAGAATTTCTCAACTGGTTTAAGAAGCAAAAACGTTCTCCGAACCTAACTTCGCTTGCCAACATCAATATGCCTCAGAACAAAGGTCGTAAATGTGGTACAAGGAAGAGGAAAGGATCCTCCAACAAGAAACCAACTGAAGGTTTGCCTGTTGTTTTCAGTCGCGTGATCCAGTCGCAGCTACGCCAAGTTAATCAACTAATGGTTCAGGCGACTGAACCAGAGGAGTCAGATATTGCGTCCCGTCGTGATCAACCTCGATTTCCACCGACTAACGCCGCCTTCCAACGTTGCATGATACCAACAAACAACGTCCTTCATTGTGGTTTGACACCGACAACCAGCACCTTCCAACCTGGTATGACACCGACAACCAGCGCCTTTCAACCTGGTACGACACCGACAATCAGGGCCTTTCAACCTGGTATGACACAGACAACCAGGGCCTTTCAACCTGGTATGACACAGACAACCAGCGCCTTTCAACCTGGTACGACACCGACAATCAGGGCCTTTCAACCTGGTATGACACAGACAACCAGCGCCTTTCAACCTGGTACGACACCGATACACATTGATCCAATAATATATCAAGCCCAACCCAGTCCTCTTCCAACCTACCAATTGCAAGCCCAGCAGTTTAGTCCAGCAAGACAGAAACCAGATTTCGGTTCATTCGCATTTGCGAGACTCCCATACCTTGATAGTCGAGTGTCAAAATGCTATGGCTGTGGAGAACTGTTAAAGCCAGGAGGTGTTTTGCCTCCTCCACCAAACGATCTAGTTCTGACAACTAGGTTGCACAGGAAATACCCTAAGGATGGGCAGCTACAAATATCACCAACTATCTCATCAGTCTATCTCCATGTCAGCTCGTACTGTGCACGAGCAGCCCTCCCAGACTTTACCCCGGCATTGTGCTACTTACCCAACGATTTGGCTCCATTTCTTCATAAGGAACACTACGATTTAATGTATGCAAAATTAGGACTACGTTTTGCACAGAACTTGTAGTCAATTAAATTCAAACGACCACGAGTTTAGACGTTTGACATAAAAAGAAAATTTACAATTACCATCTGTTATTCTGTTGCATAATAATACTTAGTGAAACTCAATGAGAGACAAGATATTCATATTCATATAGCCTATCGGTGTAGAATACTAAAACATTCGATGGGCATCTTAATGATAAATCTGCTGAGTGCAATAGAGTGAGTGCTATACCGAGTGCAAAACTATCAAAATTTCAAAAAATCCCCTCCCCCACCCCCCTTTCACGCAAGTAAAATATATTGACTGTACCTCATTTGATGACGATCATCATTTCATGAAGGAAGCAAGCTTGTAATGTAAAATTTATGATGAAATTTGTATGAAAAAGATAGCTGTCAATTTATTATGAAAATCGAAAACGTATATCAGTTTTGTATATGCGGCGCTTTCGGTAACTGTTAAGTTGACCTGATTTCATAGTAAAAATCATGCGCGCGAGAAATATTTCGCTTTCTTGTGTACAGCACTTACTTTATAAACATAGCACTCTAGTAATAGTTCCAGAGACGATAGTTTTCTTTCTTTAATTGTTCTGTTTTGTTTCGTTATGTTTGTAAAATAGCACCAATTAAAAATAGTTGATGAGATCTGATATATAATGCAATTGGTAAGTCTGTCGAGTGATTAATAGAAACCTCGACAGGTTATATCGCTGGAATTCAACTATATAAAATAGTATAATATAATAGAATGACATTATGTTTCGCTCGCTACTCTGGTTTAAATAAATGATTACAAAGCCCAGTCGAATTGTAATCAAGACCCAACGTTTCGACACTCCAGTCTAGTGTCTTCATCAGGGGTGATCTAAAACTCGATCGTGGCTTCTTAAATACCCAAGGGATGACGTCACCTGCCAAGAAGATGCATATATTCTTCTGGCAAATAGGCGCCGTCATCCCTATTCAAAGCATGATGACTCATATTTATATGCCACGCTTCTAGACAAAGTCTTTGACCATAGCGATTGTTTGTGGTAATTACTTTAGAGTTTTCCCACGCAAAGTAATTACCACAAACAATCGCTATAATCAAAGACTTTGCCTAGAAGCGTGGCATATAAATATGAGTCATCATGCTTTGAATAGGGATGACGGTGCCTATTTGCCAGAAGAATATATGCATCTTCTTGGCAGGTGACGTCATCCCTTGGGTATTTAAGAAGCCACGATCGCAGTTTTAGATCACCCCTGATGAAGACACTAGACTGGAGTGTCGAAACGTTGGGTCTTGATTACAATTCGACTGGGCTTTGTAATCATTTATTTAAACCAGAGTAGCGAGCGAAACATGATTTATATACCTGGTTGCAGTGAACGAACAAACTTTAGAATGACATTAGTTACAAATGACATTTTGACTCCGCGTTTTACAAATTTTGACTCCGCGTTTTACAAATTTTGACTCCGCGTTTTACAGATTTTGACTCCGCGTTTTACAAATTTTGACTCCGCGTTTTACAAATTTTTGACTCCGCGTTTTACAAATTTTTGACTCCGCGTTTTACAAATCCACTCCACTCCGCGTTTTACAAATCCACTCCACTCCGCGTTTTACAACATGCCGTTTTGAACAACTAAACAGGAAAAAAATATTGTGATCAGCTACATCGTCTCTTCTAATCGCTTTTCGCCTGTCGCCTACAGCTTGAGGCCTCGTTTCAGCGCGAATTCTGAGCACTGTATTCTGCGGTGCGCGCCGCCGCACCCGTTTCGATCGCATCTATGGCGAAATCTACAAAATCGCGTGGACTGCTACATGCGCCTGAATTCCATGATTTGCAGGCAATCATCGAGTTTTGCGATTGCGTGGTGATGGCACAAATCTGCATGAATTTGGCTCCAATTCTTTGAATTGGATGCGGCAGTTTCGAGACGATAGGCGCGATCATAATTAAACCAGCACCAGCCGGGGAATTGCTTCGTGAGGCGCATTATTAAGGCCGTACACGCAAGTAAATCTCGCGCTGTTCAGGCCGCGTTTGTTTGCCTGTTTGTTTGCCCGCGCTGTTTCAGGGCGCGCTGTTTTGTGCAACTGCACTCGATTATGTCAACAACGTCGACCCAGCAATCTTAACAAAAAAGGAGCAGTTAACATACCTTCGCCTGGTGTTAGCGTATACCCGGCGCGCTTACCATCGCTGTGGCATCGGCCACGGTAGTTTTAAAACCAGAGGCAGAGGAAACTTGGGCAACTTGGAAGCAACACCGCGGAAAAACGTCTGCGCATGCACCAAATTATGAAAATATGGCGGGGAATTTGAATATCAATTTCTAAAACAAGAACATGCTTATTAATTGGTCAAAAATTAGTAAAACAAACGAGAAAATATAGCAAATGGGCAGACTAGACATTAATTGAAAGTGTCTGGCATTTAAAGTATGGAATAAAATATAATTCATGTAAAAAAATGTTGATTTTAACGGATACGACTTCGAAAATTTTTGCAAAATTATTCAAAACAAAAATTCAAACTCAAAAGTTAAGAAAACTCTCGAAAAGTTAAGCTTCTTAACCCACTCAAATTGTAGAATAAATCCTAAAGTTTAATTATTGTGAACACGAAATTTTTTTATATTTGGCGACACACTTTTTTTTAAAGAAATGTATCTCGAACGAATATTCGGAAATTGTCGTTGCTTAGTTGATAAACAAAATGTTTCAGACGATAAATTTGTCAACAATCACCTTTAGTTCATGTTCTTGTACAATACAATTTCTTGAACCTTCTGGCTGTGTTTATTCCTAGTTTTTAGAATGACATGTTTATTTTTGCGCTCGAAATCTGGCTGTAAAGACGGACAATGAAGTCACTCCTTTTTACCGCCATTTTGAGCTTTCGGAAACGTTCGGAACAGCTTCTCATCAAGTTCGTAATACTATTACAGGTAAGGTTGACGCATGCGCAGACGTTTTTCCGCGGTGTTGATGAGAAGCTGTTCCGAATCCACTGACGTCGACGATGAACCGGGTTCCTGGTGACTTGACGTTTCTCCTGCCGAGTCCATGTTATTCAACAAGCACACAAACAACAAGAACAAAGACGAGAAAAAAATTGCTTCTTCTCTGAGCAGATAACCATTGCAGTTGGCTACGAATTAGCTAATGACCTGAGGGTTTGCTTGGCACTCTCTATATCCGATATCTTGAGGGCAAATGTCGTACCCAGACTGCGCGCGGCTCCTATGATATTAACCTTGGTTACCATGTAACCTCATCAAAAAGTTCAAAAAAGTGCATTCGCTCACTATATGTATTAGAATGACCATTAATTTAAATGGCGAAGAGGATGATGATTTCAAAATAACATTTGCCTACACACCCATGGTGAAAGGCCAATTTAAAGCCAAAATGCGCCCTTTCAAACTCGAAAATTTTGATGAAAAAAATTTACACTTGCGACAGAAAAAATGGAAATATATTTTAGTTTAGTCATTTTTGTCGATAATTAATATGAGACATTTATTGTCCATTAATCTAGCATTATGACACTATACATTTCATTTAAAAAAAGCAATTCTTATCTCTTGTATAAGGATACTTTCCTATAAAACTTTCTTTAATTTTTTCTGCCATTTTTCGCTCCTTTTTTCTTTTCATTTAAAAAAATAAGCGCGCTTGCGCCAGTCCTATCCGCATAACACATGGATCAGCGCGATATCAGCGCGTTTCCCCGCCCGTGTTTTATAGCGCAACAGGTGGGCAATTTGTCTGCGCGTGCGCGAAGAAAATCAATATGGCGACATATATTAGGAGTGTTTCGTGAATTTATCTGGTTTTAAGCTGATAAAACAACATTTTAATGAACGCAAACTTTGTAATATTTAGTGGAAAATATTAAGCTATGCATTCCAAAGGTTTTAAATTGAAAATAAGTACTTATGCTGTATTTTATTGCTTTTTATGCTTTGAAAACAGGCAAGCTCATTTTCTTGCAAAAATGTAATCTATTATTTTACCCATCATTTGTTTAATCTGAACAGAAATAGGTAGAACACTTGGCTATATAAGTTACAAAGGTGTTGTTAGCTGATCTGAAAAATTTCAGTATTCCTGGTACACATTTTAACAAAGAATAAAATGTAATTTCAAAAATTTAATATGCGTATCACAAACAATAGTTTTTATTAGAACAACATATAATAAGTTGTTATTTTCTATTTTTACAAAAACAAGTTTGGAAACAGGATTTAGCCCTCCAGCTTAATGTTATATTCCATTTATTTGGATATTTCAATAAAGAATGTGAAATAATAATTCAATCTTGTGCAAAATTTGATACCAACACACATGTAAACAGATATTATCACCTAAAAATAAAAGAAAACAGATCTTAAATTTATCATCTAATGCTATGAAAAAATCTTAGATACTACAGGCATATAGTGAGCACAATTCTTTGACAAACTCTCTAAAATAAGTTCAGTTATGCTATGATAAGAGGGTGGCAATGTATGACAACATCAAATGTCACCATATTTAATGTCCAAAAAAAGTGCCGCGCGCATTTTTCGTGGTCGCATAACTGGTATTGCCACAAACCCAGGTAAAAAAGCAATTAGAAAAACCTGGTTTGGGATGATGAGCATAGTCAAACTCTTGACTTATACAACTTTCTAAGTTTTTCCAGGTAAACAGATTCAACATTAAAATAAGTCCCATTCGGAACCTCATAGAAACCAAACTATTGTGTATAGACCAGACTTTTTTCAATTTTCTGTGATTTACATGACACTAGTTATAATTTAAGGGTCAACCAGTATTGTTCAAGACATATCTTCCTTCCAGAACACCTTTTCAAAATACTAACCCAAACATGTAAAAAATAGTGCACATTTACAAGGGCATGCAATTTCAACTCTTTGGCACATTTTTCCCATGAATAATTTTAATTCTAATAAAAAGACTACAGATAAAGCTTTGATTTAAAGCTAGTTTCAAGTGATGAGCATACCCTAATTTTTAAGCTAAACCTCAAGGAAGATAGGTCATTTCAACATAAACATTGAAATATGGGTATACTGACAGCTCTGTCACACTTGTAGTTTGGCATTAACAGCTCTTCTCAAACATTTTAATGAAAATATAATTCACAAAATTCACATTTTCACTTACTTCTTAACATCTGTTTTAATCCAACTAGCTTTGTAGGCACAAGCAAAATCTAGTGTTGATGTAAATATCCATTTAGTTCATGTTTCCCAGGTGAAAATATAGTCTATTCCAAAGCTGGATTTCGACATACTTTAGCTTTTCAGAAACCGTCGGCCTTCCTCAGTAAGATTATTAACTGTTTCACAAACATATTTGATAGTAAACAGCTAAAATTAATATTCTCTGAAAGTCTGTATTTTTCACTCTTCGACGCGAAAATGGCAACTCGAGAAGAAATGAGCCGCTATTTTTGGTCAGCGTCGACAAATTGCCCACTTCTTCTATAGCGCCCTGTTAAGTCCTGTTGACAATGAGCGCTCTTCGCCTGCGTGAAAAGACTGGGACTGGCCTTTGGAGGTAGCTAGCATTCCAGTTATATTCAGTTAATTGAGCTCTATAGCCAAAGTAACATATACTTCCGGAAGGGTGTATTTTAATGAGTGCGACCCGAATTTAGGGATCCTGCCTGTTCGCAGGTGGAATGATTGACAGAACTGGAGGGCAAACGAGAACACGCGAGGGAATACGAACATCAAACGGTTATACGAGAGTCTAGTTAAAATTTTGTCATTACTTCACTTTTTTCTTAGTAATTAAATATTATTTTGTTTGATGAGCAGAGTGTGTGCGGAGTTACGGGTCGGTACAGTATTAATATTTTTGGATGAAGAAAACCATCGATCACGTTTCACTGCGGGTCCGTCACGGCAGGAATGTCGTACACTTCCAGCCAGAAATCAAATTAGAAATCAGAAACTCAACTAGAAACCACTTGAAATCAGACTATTTCCAAAGTGATATTGTAGATAGTTTGACTAATCGTATTTTCAGGCAACGAACCAAAACTGTTGTAACTGATATCTTCAAGAAATCTTGAAATTACTGTTCAAATCACGTGCGAGAAAATTGTTTCGCTGTTCTGATTGACTTTCCTGATGAGCCCCGTTTTCCACAAGGCGAAATTTTCCGCGCGGAGCGGAATTTTTCTTATTTGTCTTTTCTAATTAGTTCCACCCGAGTAATCACAAGAAAGACAAGAAAGACAAAGAAAAATTTCGCTTTGCGCGGAAGATTCCGCCTAGTGGAAAACGGCCTCTAGATAGTTGCAAAGCAAGTTTTCGTGTAAGTAAATTCATTCGTAAAACTTAGTATCTTTATAATAAAATATTTATATTCATCGCAATTTAATGCAGCAGTATATATAGTATGCACTGGGGAAAAAATTGAAAATCTATCGAATGGAAATTGTACAGTATGGACCTTTATTGGAAATAGAATGGATGTTTGATTATCCATAATAATTGTATATTTCCATACTATGGATATAGTATCGAAATAGTATGGATATACTATAGATTTAGTGGTGCAATTGCAAATTTTATAGTATGGATTTCACATTTTTCATGATGTATAAGTTTAGTTACTGCATTACAAAGACAATAACATGCATGACCTTTGCATTGTACATGTATGTCAACGATTAAGGACCGTAATAAGGCTTTCATCCCCTGGCCATATTGACAGGAAACTGCTGCCATAATAACAACCGAAATCCCGGGTTAGGGTAAAACGCTGATACGGACGGACGGACGGACGGACGGACGGACGGACGGACGGATGACCTATTTTTCTCTCAAATATGTTTTAAACATCATATCCACGTTTTACCCGATGAGGTAAAACGCGGATATGCCTTTTAATGAGCCGAAAAGCATATTTTACACCATATCCGCGTTTTACCCGATCGGGTAAAACGCGGATATGCCTTTTATAATAATAATAATAATAATAATCTGTTTAATTAATCACATTGCAGTCTCTACTGAATTACATGATTATAAGTAAATACATTAAAAATTAAATTTACAGATAAAATTGAGTTCAAACCGTTCAATGTTCGTTCTGAATAGTCAGTTTAAATCTGTCCACAAATTATAATTGGGTCCCTGAATTACTATACACGAGTACTACTAAATCAATAATACATTAATAATTATATTTGACAGTTATAAAATTTTGAAAACGTTCTGTGTTCGTTTGGAGTGACCAGCTTGATTCGGCCTAAGATTATAATTATGAGTATTTGGATGTATACGAGTTGCAACAACATCCTTAAGAGGATTTATAGGACCATTGTCAAGCTTCAATTTCCGAATAAATTGTTCGCAGGAATTATGTCTACGCGTACTTAACTTTTTTAGACCAGTATAATTCAATGCGTCTTGATACGACATTTCGGGAAGCAAGATACGTAATGCTCTTCTCTGTATCGATTCGATAAGGTCAGACTGGCCTTGGGTCAGCGTTGACCACGCAGGTGAAGCGTACTCAATTCGGGACCGAATGAAGGAGGAATATATAGTGACAAGGTCTTTATCGCTTAACCCAGCCTTTTTTAACTTCCGCAATGCATAGAGTCTAGAATTTGCTTTTTTAATCACATAGTCGACATGATCACACCAAGATAGATCCTCTCTCAGTAGCACACCGAGCAGTTTAAAGGAGGATACTGATTGCACCGGCGAACCATCTATATAGATCGCATTATCAAGCGGAAGGTGGTATTGGAGGAAGGATATTGTCATCTCCTTACATTTCTTACTGTTAAGCTTCATTCCTCTACTTGAGGCATACTGAGATACATCATTTACAAGAATAGGTAGCAAGCTAGGAGAGCAACGTGGAACAATTTCTAGTGCAGTAGCATCGTCTACAAACTTTATCCGCCCATTCCAGTCCTGTAGGAGGGAATTGACTAAAATGGCAAAGAGAAGAGGGCCAAGTTTAGTTCCTTGAGGTAGGCCACCGTTAACGGGTTTCCATGAGGAAAAGGATGGTCCGATTTTAACACACTGTTCGCGGGAGGTAAGGAACGACTTTATCCATCTTATAATGGCTCACTTGTAATTTTAAAAGTTCATCAATAATGACATTATGGTCGACGAGATCAAAACCTTTTTTGAAATCAGCAAAAAAGATTCTTACAGAGCAGTGGCCTTGATCTAAAGCAGCATGAATCAAGTGTAGGAGATAAACGAGTGCCTGAGTGGTTGACTTTCCCGGAAGAGCAAATTGCTTTGGATCCAATTTAAGACCCACTTCCGACATGAGGGACTGTAGCATAAATCCTTCCATCACTTTAGATACCTGAGCTGTGAGTGATATAGGTCTTAAATCGTCCTCAATAGTCTGAGGTGGTGACACTTTTGGAATGGGAACGACGATAGAACGTTTTAGCTGATCAGGGAAGACTCCCTGGAGCACTGATGTATTGTATATGTCCATTATGATAGGGGCAAATTCAAAAGCGAAGGTTTTCAGGATCCTATTTGGGATATTAGAGAGTTTTAGCTTGACGTTTACGGCAAACGTCAAACCGCTAACGAAGTTTTTGATTTTATAACATTATAACAGCTTTTACACCAGTTTTGAAATATATTAAGCAATTATTATTAAACTTGTGTTCTTAGCAATGATTAAAGAAAGCAAATTAACCACTAGTCACGTATTCACCAAAGCAGTAAATTAAGATTAGGCGTTTGAAGTTTACGTTTGGCGTATAAATTTCATGCTTGAACTGCTACGAAGGCTTGTAGTCGTTAAAGCATGAAATTTATACGCCAAACGTAAACTTCAAACGCCAAATCTTAATTTACTGCTTTGGTGAATACGTGACTAGTGGTTAATTTGCTTTCTTAAATCATTGCTAAGAACACCAGTTTAATAATTGTTTAATATATTTCAAAACTGGTGTAAAAGCTATGATAATAAAGTTGTAAAATCAAAAACTTCATTAGCGGTTTGACGTTTGCCGTAAACGTCAAGCTAAAACTCTCTACCGTCTGGGCCAGGAGACTTCGTTTTAAAGAGCCGAAAAGCATATTTTACACCATATCCGCGTTTTACCCGATCGGGTAAAACGCGGATATGATGTTTAAAACATATTTGAGAGAAAAATAGGTCATCCGTCCGTCCGTCCGTCCGTCCGTATCAGCGTTTTGCCCTAACCCTGAAATCCCACAGACGAACAAATAACTCGATCGAACTATAAACCTGATACCACAGCAGGACTGCACACACGCTAAATCGCTTGACATTTGTGCCAACATTCTCATTTTCCAACTAGTATTAAAGTATTTTATTCATTCCATTTGCTTCTAACCAGCTTAAGCATTGGAGGAATTTTATATCTCTTTGCATGAAACACAAAATGAATTAAAGCACCTCAAAGAATCGTGCGCGTCATACGACCTTCAAAATTCGCTCAAAACCGAAAGTGATATATTGCAGTCAGACTATGAAAGCATTTTTAAAAAGGCTGGCCAGGATTTGAACAATTTGGAAAGCAAAGAAAATGAAAGGAGGGAGAGAAGAGCACTTGGTTTAAAAGAGACCAAAAATCAAACTTGTGCGATGATGATTCGCGATTTTATGAAATTGCTCGGAATAACCAGTGAATCGGTATGTATCAATCAGCTTAATTCAAGGTTACATATATTATATATTGGGGTGTCGTTTATGAATATGGGTTAGTATAAATCTCTCTGAGTTAAATCTCTCTGACTTTAGATTGGTTAGACCATGTAGTGGCAGTACAATCAAGTTCTTAGTGGTACAATCGTGATCTGTTGATATTCAATGCATTCGATCAGCTGTATTTCATTGCAGACTCCAAACAAGACTGATAGCAACTTTTCAAAAAGCCTTGTTTGTCTGCCAGGTAAGTGCATTATTATGAACTGTGAGTTCGGATTTTCCCGACTTCAAGTTGCTTACGAATTTTTGCAATCACTTTTGTGAAATTTTCAATATTCGATAATTTGATGGAACAGGTTTACGAAATACTGATGATCTAATACTGCATTGATGATAATATGATGTTCTGACAATTTTTGAAACTTATTTAAAGTAGACTATCATTATACTTCCTTTGTTCGGTTTGTTCCTTGTTAATGTTTTCTAACTGCTCTTATCGAAACTAGTTTTATGTCGATTAAATATTATTATTTAACAGATTTTTTAAAATGTTTCATTTAAAAATGTTTATTACTTGATCTATTTATTATTTGCAAGTAATGAATTTTCGCGGTGTTTCCACACTGAAACAAAGCGCTGTAACCTCATTTCAATGCTCCTTTTCATTTGAGTACGAAATAGTTCTTACCTTTGTGAAATTATTTGGTCGCCTTGACTACATATAGGTAACATTTGTTGATGTTTAACTTTATTTTTTGTAACTATTACGTTATGGACCGGTGTACGTTTAATTCATCGCCTCGTTTAAAGTAAGCAATTGAAATCTAGATTCATTATGCGCAGTTTATACAAAATAGTATTTTTATAATCATGGGACTTTATAGCAAAGACTTTTAGTTAACTCAACCTATATGCAGGGAACTATTTGACTTAAGTCCATGGTAAAGTGAAATATATCAAATAGTACAAGAGTAAAAAAAACAAGAATATAGAAGACAAAATATGCAGTTGTGTCAATCACTCAATGATGTAGACATAGGCTTAAAAACACGCAGCTTTGAAAAACTTTGAAACAATCATTTCGCTACTCTTAGAATAAAAATAAGTTGGCATACAGATCTAAATCTTATTACCATATAGCAAATTTAGTCATAATCATAGCATGGCGCCATGGCCAGAATCACGTGATTATTCTATTTCGTTCGGTAAAGTGCCACCATCGATGCATTATGGCTTCTGTAGTAAACAGTAAATTATATTACGCGACGCTGTAAATCACAAAATCAGGGAATACACGGTAGATCGTTTGCAATTTGCTTAATTGCTGGTTGCAAAACAATGCCTGTAGACATATTTAATGTAATCTTTGCCTGGTTTAAGGTTACAGGACACCCTTTTTGGCGTTTTGCGGAAAATCGCTACTGCGCGCTCAAAATCAGTCCGATTTTCATCAAATTTTCACCAAATGTTCGCTAGTGCATGCAAAATATGGTAAAGTTGTAAAATTGACAATCTTACGTCGCGGTACCTTTACGCTTTTGAGTTATGTTCCTGCTGGTTTTAAGGTATATTTATGAAAATATCATTTTTATACAGTAAAATAGTTGTTCTAAAAAATTGTGTTCGGAAATTTTTGTTTATTTCGTCATTCCGCTGATATGGCGATTTCTTTGACGACTGCGATATATTTCTTAATCGTTTGTGTGAATTGCTCCTTTTTTTAAAATATCCAAAATTAGAACAAAGCCGAACACTATTTTGAAACTGACATCTTTAGCTATGTCCTGTGAAAATTTGAGAAAAAATCGTTAAAACCCGCAGGAGCACAACTCGTTTAAAAAATCAGTAATTGCCGTAAAATTCTTCGGGAGAAAATTGAATTTGAATATTACATTTCCAATGTTTTTCTTATTGCAAAAATTATTCTCAACATTTTTCGTCCAAACTTGGTCAGATATAGTAGAACTAGTCTAATGCTTTTATTAAAAATTTTAGGCAAAATTAACACTCAAAGACAAAGGTGTTCTGTAACCTTAAGTTACTGCCTATTCTGCGTTTTCGTAATTTGTTCCTACCGACAGTAGTGCGGTATAAATATCATTCTTATACCGGAAAAGACGTCAATGGACAAATGTCGTAAAAACTAACCTCTGTACAAATTTTGAAAATGCAGAACAGGAAGTAACTGAATACTTCGACAGAGTTTGTTTTTGCAGCTAGAGATTGAAGCAAGCTGCAAATGTAAGTAATGTACGACCTACATTGTTCTCAAATTTTGCGATTAAACAACGTCGCGTTATATAATTCACTGTTGAATCCATATTTCAACGTGATATGCAAATTACGAAGGAAGTATAGAACAAATCACGTCCGTGATTTCTGGCCATGGAAAATTTATCAACGCGAGAAACATGCGTAACAGTTTGCAGCCAAAGCGTAAGACTTAACATGCAGTTTTAAAGTCTTACGCAATTTTCCCCCCGTTTTTTTTTTCAAACCTTAATCGGTAATGAAATAAAATATTATGTGGAAAAGAAAGATACAATGGCCAGTTATGAACCAAGACACTTACCCCTGCGCAGGGGAAAAATTCCTCTGGGAAATCAAAGACAAAGTCAAAAGTTTGCTGAAAATTCGTGATTGAGTTACCCTCCTTGACTATAGACCATTTCATTTCCGTGCTAAATTGTTATAGAAATTAACACTCTCCTCGACTTGTCGTTATTGCTCTCGACAACTTGAGCGTAAAGGTCAATAGGGGGATTCAAGGTTTCTGACACCATCTTGAATCTATTGTTTTCACCATTGTGTTTGCACCCCTTCAAATTTACCTATAGGGAATTCCAATGTGTTTGCCCCCCTTGCTTTATTGTGTTTCGTTATGGCGTCGGAAACCTTGAATCCCCCTATTGTTGTCTCAGGGCCTGCAGGACCCAAGAGGTCGCAAGGTATACCAGGAAATAGAGGTCCTCAAGGTCCCCGTGGCAAAATGGGGAATAATGGTACAAAAGGTGATAGAGGTGCACCTGGACCACGTGGGATAAAAGGTGATCCTGGTGATATCATGAAATCAAAAGAAGGTAAGATCGATATTTGTTTGTTTCTCTGTTTCTTTCGACGTGTGTATGTTTGTTTGTTTAAGTGTACAGCGCTATTCAGGGTTCGGTGTTCCACATGTTCAGTCACATTTCACTGTCCTTCTATAGCTCCACCGAAGATAACAACCCACCCTCCCAAAATCATATTCATCAACGAAGGCGTCAACCTGACCTTAAACTGTACTGCCATCGGCTACCCTCTACCCTCAGTGAGCTGGCTGAAAGACGACGCCTCTCTACTTGGGACTCAGCTGTTTCCAGAACGTGGAAAAGGAACGAGACTTCATTTCACGAAGATCACCTATGACAGAAAAGGGAAGTATACATGCCTTGCAAGGAATTCAGTGGGAATGGCCAGTTTTGATGTGAAAATTATCTTCAAAGGTAAGGCAGGAATTTATATAGCATGGTATTACAAAGTCAGAAGAGCAGTATAAGTTTTGTCCAACAAGCTGCTATGGTTTGTGTCAGAACTACCTGAAAAAGGTAGTATTCTACAATATAAACAAACTTTCGTAGGTAGGGATGCAACTACTTGAAAATATAAGAAGAATTTCGACGTTTCGAGTGAAGGCCCTAGTAACTCCAGACGGGCCTCCGCTCGGAATGTCGAAATTCTCCTTATATTTTTCAGGTAGTTGCATCCCTACCAACAAAAACTTGTTAACATTTTTGGCACTACCTCCACTGGCACACACAGTTCAAGATTATATTCTACAATAAGCAGGCATAGTGAACTACCTGAAAAATACTTCGATGCCCTTTCGTGAGGAGATCAGTAGTGTGAACGAAGGCCTCTGTTCGATACGTTGAAATGTGTATTTTTTTAATCTTTTTTAATCCAAAGGAATCGAAGAGGTTCTCTGGTTACCCTCTTACTAGAACTCTAGGGAGAACAGTTTAGTAGTAACAGAGCTATCCACCATAAATAAAGTTAGTTTAGTTCAAATGCTCTTTTTATTAATATTTTTCAGTACCACCAAAGCGACTTAGCTTGCTGGAAACAGTCGCTTATAAAGAGTACGCAGTTAATCTACAATGTCCAGTAGACTCATATCCCCCAGCAAAAGTCAGATGGATCAAGCCTGGCAATACATTATCGAATGGGGATGTGTCTGTGGTGAACAATACGCTCAATATTAGGCACGTGAAAGAGAAACATGAAGGAGTGTATCTGTGTCAAGCAAAGAATATGTTTGGATCAACTTTTACTGCATTATCTGTAAAAGTGAGAAATGAAGGTAAATAACAGAAAAAAACTTGCAACATATAATGGCAACACAAATGGCAGCTTCAGTTTTGGCAGTTTGTACTACCAGCATAAACAACAAAAGGAACAACAGTAGCAGCAATAACAACGACGGTGACAACTACTAGTCTAATTGATCATATGGTTACTAATACACCAGAAAAAAATTCTGATTCTGGTGTCATTCACACAGGTATAAGTGATCATAGTTTGATATTTGCTATCAGGAAAATTTCTGTTATAAAGAAACAAGAGAATATAGTTGAGATGAGAAACATGAAAAATTTTAATGAAGAAAAATTTGTTGCGGAACTGCTCAAACAGCACTGGGAACAAGTGTATTTTTTTGCTGAAGACCCAAATGATATATGGGAGAGTTGGAAAAAAATATTCGTAGAAGTCCTAGATAAGCATGCACCACTTCAATGCAAAAAAATCAGGTCTAAAAAAGTCCCTTGAATTACAAGTGATATAAAGAAACTTATTAATACAAGGGACAAATTAAAAAGAAAAGCCGTTTCCACAAACCTAGAAAATGATTGGTTTGATTATAAAACGTCTAGAAACAAAGTAAACATAGAAATGAGGAATGCCAAAAAAGATTACTATTCCTCAAAAATAGCTGGTCAAAAATTCATTCCTAAAAAAGCTTGGAAAAGTATAAACAACTTATTAGGGAGGCAAAACAAACCAACAATGGTGAATGAGATTAATCTAGGGAGAAAAATTTTTACAACTCCCAAAGATATTGCAGAAGGCTTTAATGATTACTTTTCAAATATTGGACCTGATTTAGCTAGCAAAATTGATACCTCAAATTATAATTTTGAAACATATACTAAAACTGCTGAATCAGAATTTGCAGCATTCCAGCCTGTTACTGTCAGTCATGTCTGTCGTCTCTTGCATGAGCTTTACCGCAATAAAGCCACTGGCATTGACAAAATTTCTTGTAAAATTATTAAGATAGCTGCACCAGCTATTTCAGACTCATTGACATTTATTTTCAATCAGGCTATAACTCTATCCTCCTTTCCTAATGAATGGAAAATGGCAAGAGTAATAATACCTTTGCAAAAATGGCCAACGGAATATTTCAGGAAACTATAGACCAATATCAGTTTTACCAGCGATTAGAAATATTATGGAGCGAATTATGTATGATCAACTGTATAACTATTTAACAAAATTTGAACTCCTTAGCGATTCTCAATTCGGTTTTCGAAAATCTCATTCTACAGCAACTGCATTACTAGACTGTACCTATGATTGGTATATAAATCTAGACAGAAAAATGTTTAACCTAGTAGTTTTAATTGATCTAAAAAAAGCATTTGATACTGTTGATCATCAAATTCTATTGGGGAGGTTAGAACTTTATGGAATAAAAGGAGAAGCTCTAACTTTGCTCAAATCTTATCTCACAAACAGAAACCAGAAGTGCCAAATTAAGAATTCCTTTTCTA